TTTTCACATTATTAAATTTTGTATACGCACGTTGAGTCTTCACAATATATCTTGTTTTGTTGGTATGGCGAAAAAATCAGCTTGGACTGAAGCTTCCAAAGCGATGTGTCCTTAAGTGATCTGACGTATCTTCCAAGGGATATAAGGAATATAAATTAGTCCGTCGAATATGGACAGCCCTGTATTGGATTGATATTAGACCGCTAGTAATAAATAAGTAGCAAAATATTCTTTTGAATATAACCATATAAAAAATTGTAATATTAATATTCTAAAGTTATTGACAGACTTTTAAATTTGAAATGAGGTCTTTTCTTTCCTAATCTTCTAATTTACACGAGGGCATACCCTTAATACAAAGAATCGCAATATTATTTTACTAATGACATTACTATCGATGTTTCAAGTACTATATATATATGTATCGAATATACAACCTTGTTATTGCGAGTAAAAACATCTGTGTGTGAGAACAATAGCAAATGCAATATTTTGACTTTTTAGGCAATTTCAATTAATTTAAGTAGTAACAGTTAGTATTTTAAAATGCATATAATGTTTATATGAACACGCAAACATTTTCAAAACTTAACTTATATATATTAATTCCCACAACAAAAAAGATATTGGTACAATTAAGGTCATGGGAAGTATTGAAAAGGCTTGTATTTCCGGATTTCTTTGCCGCCTTTGCTCAGAAATGCATAGAACAGTTATACACATATATGGAGACCATGGACAGCGATTATGTCTTGTCGAAAAAATCAATGGCTACTTGCCAATTACTGTAAGTGCATACACATTAATATGTATATGGATGTTGTCCGGCTCATGAAATAATTTTGTTTAGATATCTCCTACTGATCCATTACCAAAAACCATTTGTAAAACTTGTTTATATCGGGTGGAACAGCATTACACCCTTTTAATGAGACTCACACGTATGCGGGAGGAACGCAAGCTCAAATTACTGGGCTACAAACCACAAAGGGAAGCTGTAAGTATAGTTGAATTCATACAATTTCTAAGAGTAACAAAATGTTTTTATTTGTTTGACAGGAAAATTTCTCAATATCTAGTGTCGAATGTTCCGATGACGACGAAGCAACATCCACAGGAACAAATAATACACCTGGCGTAGCTGCAAACCCCAGCCCTGATAAGTCTGCAGCTTCGATTCGGAGTAACAGAGACAGAACTAATTTAGAAAACGCAGGGACAAGCAGTACTCAATCAAATGTGACTACTGCTCCGATTACTTCAGAACATGACCCACAAGAACATTATCCAACGACTTAGAAGACTACCATTTATTTATCTTTGTTTAACCTAATCAAGCACCATTTTCATATGTACGTATTATTGATAAATTAATATATATATATATATAATATCAATGTGTGAAGTTAGTTATTATGTACTTGCAGACTATATAATTTTTTCATAAAATGTATATTACGTGTCAACAACAATTTTGATTACGCGTGGCTCGCGTGCAGAAGAAAATACATTTCTTTATTTTTTTTATGTTTATTTGGCAATGGTAAGATATTATAAACCTATTTTCATAGCAATAAAAAAGGCGCTTTGTGTGAATCTAAATAGCAAGATAAATTGATCGTGATAACTACACGCCTCGTTGGGAGTTGGTTAAGGAACAAACGATCAGTGATCGGTGCTTTTGCCGTAGGCTTCAGAATAAAAACTAAAACTCAAAGAAGTAGACCAGGTAGAAGTTTACTAGATGTAATTTAAGATCTTGCAGATGAAATGAGACGCTTTTCTCTGCCATGGTACGGTATATTGTCTGGTTACATTGTCTTTATTTATTATACCCTGAACCCATTAAAAATAGGAAATCAGGGTATAATGGTTTTGTTAAAATGTATGTAACAGGCAGAAGGAGGCGTGGCAGACCCC